TTAGAGATGGGGTATAGATGATTTACTGTTTTTGGGATCATGAAAATCCACATAGAACTCTTGCATACCATCATTGATCGTCTCCACCTTATAGTTACTCATCAATTAAAAAACCCAACAATTAAAAAAAAAAAAAAAAAAAAAAAATTAAATGGAGGAAAAAAAATTGGAGATTTACTATTTCACAACAATCAAAACCCAATAATTAAAAACAAAAAAATAATAAATGAAATGGAAGAAAAAAAAAAATTGGAGATTTATAGTTTCATCAAATCCAGCTCTCTGCGTTTGCTTTGGGAAGACATGGTGGTTAACTCATCAAACTCTCGACGGTAGAGGACAGAGACTCACAGAACCCATTCAAAGATTTGGAAATGATAAAAGCCTAAGAGAAATAAAGGTTGAGTTAGAAGCATGTGAAATTACCTTCAAACCAATAGTAGCTTCCTTGCCATATTCATACACAAATGGAGATTCTGAAGATTTCACAAATAGAAGATATTAGAGTCAAAAACAAAAAAAAAATAATAAATTAAATGGAAGAAAAAAAATTGGAGATTTACTATTGCACATTTGCTGTTTGTTTGATTGGTTACTTTTATATTTCCTGTCCAGTCTGCATTGGGAGCTTTTCAATGAAGCACAAGTAAAGGAAAATTTCTGTTGTGAAATTGACATCTCATCTTAGAAGAAGGATAAGCATTAACACGCATGGAAAAGTTCGTGTCATTTGTGATTTTTTTAAAAAAAAAAATATAGGGAAAGGGAGCTGTAAAATGCCAAGGAGAGAAGAAACTGCAAGTCATTTAAAATGTATAGTCTATTATTTTTATTACAAAGAGGGTCATGACGGATAAAGTTTATAGAAAAGTGCACAGAAAAATCAATACGGCTCGGATTTATTCTTCGAGTGGCGAGGATCACAACCATAATAAAATTAACACATGATTTTTTTTTTGTGTACATAACATTACTGTTTTAGCTCTGTTGTCTGGATTTACTTTGCAACTTTGCATCACTTGAACTATCATGTATATGGTAGTAAAAGTAATGAAAGTTTTGTTATAATTGCATAGATTTCATATACCATTTTAAGCACTAAGTCAATTGATTAGTTTTAACTAACAAGAAAACACATTCTTCAGATTATTGGATTGTATAATGTTATGAGATATCATTAAAATTAAAAATTAATTGTTTATGATTACTATGTCATTTTGTTTTAGTTATTTTTAAAATTAAAAATAAAGATAAGATGATGGGATTCTTTCACAACCATGGATGATATAAAGGGGAGGATCCAAATCTATCTCGAGTGTATTCCATATAAAAACCAATAAGATGGATGGACTGTTAGAGCCTAAAGGCTTTCGTTTTCGGCCTAAGTTTAGCCTCTTATTGTTGTTGGGATCTAGAGCCCAACTTATTCACTTTTGTCTATAACAAATAAGTGAACGTGACACACTTTGGGTTGGTTTAAGAAGTGGGTTAATTTTTTGATTTTTTGATTTTTTTAGCTATTTTAGTCTGGGTTAAAAAACTTGATTTGGGAAGGATTTTTTGGCTTTTTAGCTTTTTTGACTTTTTTATGAGAGAAAAGTATAATGATTATGGGTTGGATGTGATGTTTTGTTTGTTGTACCTAAAATAACTTATTTTGTTTTTTATGGCTATTTTAGCCAAAAAAGTCCAAAAAAATTTCTTCCCAAACAAAGGCACTCTTAGATATCAAAGTTGAGTGTTTTTGTAGAAAAATTTTGTGTAAATCATTTTTCAACTGAATAGTAGCATTAGACTACTCTTACATATTAATAGTTGACAAGTAAAATTGTAGTTACTCTTATTTAAATTATAAAATAAAAATATTTTCTTCTTGGTGGAGCATTAGTCCAGATAGAGGAACCAAGAGCATCTCCCTCCAAATTTTTAAAATTTGATATGTTAAATTTTTTTTGAAAGTTTATGTGGTAAATTGATATATGTTAATTTGACATGAAAGTTCTCCACTTAATATATCAAATCTATTATTTTATTAATTTTTAAATTTAAATCTTTTATTTTATATGAATTTTTTTTTTATTTCAAAAAATAATACTCTTTCTGTCCCAAAATAATAATCCCTTTTGGGGAATTTAACTTTTTTTGATAGTATAATTATTTCATTTTTAAAATATTAATTTTTTAAAATTACCCTTTAATAATATATTTTTTTGAAAATTTCAATTGTTATAAATGTACTTTTTGTGTTATTAATGAATTTAAAAGAAGTGTAAAATAGTTAATTTATATTATTTTATTTCTTGATTTTTAAAAAAAGATTCACTCTGTTTAGTTTTAGTTTTCAGAATTTACTATTTAAAAAATTTTACTTTTTCGTTTTCCTTATTTTTGTGTTTTCACTAAATTTTTTTAATATTTTAAACAATTTTTAAAATTTTTAGATACACCTAATATAAATACACTTTAAAAATATAATATTTGTAAAAAAAACTTTAAAAAATTCACAAACTATCAAAAATATAAAAAAAATGAAAATTCAGTATATTTTTTTATATTTTTATGTATTTATTACTTTTTTAAAATATTTTTTTTATAAATAATTTACTATTTAGATATATCTAAGTAAGGTATATTTAAAAAATAAAAATTTTGTTTAAAATTTTAAAAATATTCACTAAAAATAAAAAAATAAAAAATTTAATTTTTTAAAAAACGAATTCAAAAAATTAAAGCAAAACACACTAATTAATATTTTAAAATAATAAAAAATAAAATAAGGATATATTTTGAAAATTATGCACGTGGGGAACGCCGATTGGTGTGTGTGGTAGTTGGGTTTCCAGAATGAAGTAGTTGAATCCAACTGTCTACAGTTTTGTAGCAGTTCTAGCTGCCTCTAAACTTGCCTGGGAAGCATTCCACGTGCCACTTCCACGTGCCCCCTATCCAATTTTTTTAATTTTCCGGTGGACTACCTGGTATGCAGGTCGGTGCTTGTGGACCCCCACTCCCACACCTGGCGTAGGTCGGCTGCGACACTCTAACAAGGCTTAAGTCTAATTGGTCAATTATACATTTTAATTAAAAAATTATTATAAATTATCATTTTATTTATTTTTTTATTTTTTTACATATTTTTTTTATAAAAAATTAAAAAATTATTAAAATAATTTGTTTTCTAACGAGATCTTAATTTTGACAAAAACTTTTTTAGTTGATTTTTTAAAAATAAAACTTTTTTAATTTAGAATTAAAAAGTTCATTTGATAATTTTTTTTAATTTTTGTTAAAAAAAGAAAATAATTATAATTTAAATAAAATATTTAATTTTTTTACACTATTGTAATCCCAACTAAGATAGTCAAACAAAACCTTAGAAATTCACGAGGGACGCGACCCAACCTCTTCGAGCAGTTGAATGAAAATTAATTAATCATTTCTTTTGTTTATTTTTTTGGTATAATTTTCTTTTGTTTATTTATCTCAACTAGCTTTGTGCTTTGATAGTTGTTGGACTATTTTAATAGTTTTTATTTATTCATTTATTTATTTATATATTTTATTTATGAATCTTCTTTTATTTTGATTATGAGTCTTATCTTGTTCATGAATGGAGATTCATTACTTTGATGACTTTTTGTCTTATTTATGTTTAATTAGATTTCATGAATTTGGTGGTGAGTTAATATTTGGGTACACTCTCCATTTTCTCTAGGTTCATGGCCATTATTATTTTTTGATGTATTTTGTAATGTCCTAGTGACTTATAAATAGTTCCTCTATTCTACTCTTTTCTACAACCAACATACCAACTATTTTCTATACAAGAAAGATTACTAGCAAAGAGTGATTTTTTTTTTTTTTTTTTTGTGGAGTTTTGGGTTCACCATCTTGTGCAGAGTTGGTTTGAACCATACGGCAAGTGGTCGGGCTGTTGTATCTTGGAGGGGACAAGTCATAGTTTTGTGACTGCTGTATCGGTATTTGGGTTCTTCTTACCGCAGTAGGCTTGATCTCTTTAAAGAAAACGAGATATCTGTGTATTAACCTGATCTATTTGTATTTTATTTTCTTTGCATTATTTATCAATAAAATATAATTTTTTTTGATATTTTCACCAAAAATAATGATATAGGGACCGTTACCAAAATTTGTGGGCTTTGACGGTAGAGATCTAACGCATTTTAATTATTTTTTTTAAGACAGGAAGTAGGTCTTATGTATTTATTTTAGGGTATTGATATAAAAATATTAAATTATAACAAATTTTAATTCAAACTCATAGGGAGCATTTTATTTTCATTTTATAATCTGGTGTCCAAATATTTGTGTCCACTTCAACTAATTTTGTCTGAAATTAATGATCAAACAAATATTCAATTGCGGATGACTTATTTTTATATGGTAAAATGAATTTTGCTATTTATTCTATATATAAACTTACATGACGTAATTTCTATTTCTATTTCACAATCACATTTTTACTAAATTTTTGACATTTTTTAAAAATATTTAAATTATGAATTTAAATTAATATTTAAAAAGAAAAAAATAAATAAAATATAAAACTTTTAATGTTTTTTTTTAATTTTTAAATTTCTATTCAAATCAAAAAATAGCTTTATTTGGGAATAAATTATTTTAGTAATTTTTTAATCTTTTAAAAATAATATATATATATATATAAATAAATATATATATAAATAAAAAAATTATGTAACAATTTATAATAATTTTTTAATTAAAATTAAAAATTGCAGAACGAGTTGTTGGACTGTTTTCAATTTCACATTTGGTAAATGTTATTATAGTCATAGCGGCGATGTAACAGATGTCAATATATGATAGTAAACATAAAAGTATCCATGCCACCTGACAGGAAGCTCGAAATAACTACATTTGGATAATCTTTTGATTAAAATTTGTCAACAAAACCGACCACCTCACCTTCCTCTGAACTTTCCTTCCAACTCCATTTAAACTCCCTATAAATTTGCAGCTCTCAAATGCTTCCTTCCTCCATCAACAATCAACAAACCAAATCAAAACTTGAACAACACACACACTAAAAAAAACCAAAGTGTTTTCATTTCCAAAATCACACACAATCTTCCCACTTCATAGCTTCGACATTCCATTTTCTATATTTTCTTCATTTCAAAATCATCATCACACTCCATATTCATTCATATCAATGGCTCCAAGTTTGAGCAAAGCTGGCTCCGATATTTCAGACCTCGTCAATGGCTACACCGGCTCATCATCACCAACAATCACATTAGAGGGATCAAACTTCAAAGCCAGAGGCCACGTCATTCTCTCCGATGTACCTCCCAACATCGTAGCTTTTCCCTCACCCTACGGCGGCGGCGCCACCACCACCGCCGCCGGCAGCTTCGTCGGATTCGACTCCCGCGAGGCCAAAAGCCGCCACGTGGTGTCGGTGGGCAAGCTCAAGGGGATCACATTCATGAGTATTTTCAGATTCAAGGTCTGGTGGACGACCCACTGGGTCGGATCCAACGGCCGAGACCTCGAATCCGAAACCCAGATGGTGATTCTGGACCGCTCAGCCGAGGGCCGCCCTTACGTCCTTCTCCTCCCCCTCCTTGAAGGCCCATTCCGCGCCTCTCTCCAACCCGGCGGCGCCGACGACGACAACGTCGAGATTTGTATGGAAAGCGGGTCGACAAAAGTGACCCGAGCTTCGTTTCGGAGCGCGCTTTACATTCACGCAAGCGACGATCCGTACAGTCTCGTGGAGGACGCCATGGAAGTAGTGAGAGCTCATCTCGGAACATTCAGGCTTTTGAAAGAGAAGACACCACCGGGTATCGTGGACAAATTTGGTTGGTGCACGTGGGATGCATTTTACCTTACGGTGCAACCTCAGGGAGTTTGGGAAGGTGTGAAAGGGCTCGTAGAAGGCGGGTGCCCACCGGGTCTGGTTCTTATTGATGATGGGTGGCAGTCCATATCCCATGATGATGACCCGATTGCCCAAGAAGGCATGAATCGGACCTCTGCTGGTGAGCAAATGCCGTGTAGGCTCATAAAGTTTGAAGAGAATTACAAATTTAGGGACTATGTGAGTCGTAAAAAGTCAACCTCTGGTGGTGCCCTTAACAAGGGCATGGGTGCCTTTATTAGGGACCTCAAGGGGGAGTTTAAGAGTGTGGATTATGTGTATGTGTGGCATGCTTTGTGTGGGTATTGGGGCGGGCTTAGACCCAATGCTTCGGGTCTACCCAAATCTAGAGTTGTGAGGCCTAAGTTGTCACCTGGGTTGGAGAAGACAATGGAAGATCTAGCCGTTGATAAGATCGTGAACAATGGAGTTGGGTTGGTCCCACCAGAGATGGTTGATCAAATGTATGAAGGTCTGCACTCGCATTTGGAGTCAGTTGGGATTGATGGAGTCAAAGTGGATGTTATTCACGTAAGTATATTTTTTCAATAATTTTTCACTAAACATAAATATGATAATATTTTTTTAAATGTTGGTATATATTTTTGTGTGAATAATGTGCAGTTGTTGGAGATGTTGTGTGAGGACTATGGAGGCAGAGTAGAACTAGCAAAAGCATACTACAAAGCATTGACATCTTCAGTGAGGAAGCACTTCAATGGCCATGGTGTCATCGCAAGCATGGAACACTGCAACGACTTCATGTTCCTCGGAACCGAAGCCATAGCTCTCGGTCGTGTCGGTATGTCTTTACAAAAATAAAAATAAAAATCTTACTATAAAAATAATGTCACAAGTGGTTTTTAATTTTAAAGTTTTTAATTTAATTGCTTATTTTATGATTGATAACAGGGGATGATTTTTGGTGCACTGATCCATCTGGGGATCCCAATGGGACCTTTTGGCTACAAGGGTGTCACATGGTGCACTGTGCTTATAACAGCTTGTGGATGGGGAACTTCATACACCCAGATTGGGACATGTTCCAATCCACTCATCCTTGTGCCCAGTTCCACGCCGCCTCTCGGGCTATTTCCGGTGGACCAATTTATGTCAGCGACTCTGTCGGAAAACACGATTTCAAACTGCTCAGGAGCCTGGTGTTACCTGATGGCTCGATCTTGCGGTGCGAGCACTATGCACTTCCTACCCGTGATTGTCTCTTCCAAGACCCTCTCCACGATGGGAAGACCATGCTCAAGATATGGAATGCACTTCCTACCCGTGATTGTCTCTTCCAAGACCCTCTCCACGATGGGAAGACCATGCTCAAGATATGGAACTTAAACAAGGTGCATTACGTGTTTCTTTTTTAACTATTTTAAAAGAGTTATTTTTTTTTTGGCTAATTGCCTAGAATTTGGAGTATGGAAATGTGGACAAATTACATAGGACAGGAGAGTAGATAATGGCAATTTACTTTGAAACTAATAAGAATAGTAATCATAAAATGGATAGAGTTGACTTGACTCACCTTAATCAGTTGAATGAGAGACAATATCGATCTTATTCATCCCATTTTATATGACTTTATTGATCGAAAACATCACATATTTTTTCTATAATAGTGTTACAAAACTACTAAATAATTTTCATTTGTTTGTGTACCCAAAGCAATCCAGAATTTGGGCATGGCCTTATACAATCTAGAATTGGGTTGCAAGTAACAATTATGGGTACTTGGGAATGACCCTAGTTCATTATATCCATACCTATTGATTTGAGTAAAACTTTGAATATAACGACATGTTAACACGTTGGCATTAATGTTTGTATAGCTGTTTAGAAAGTAATTTAATTTAAGTTCCCAATTGCTCCCAATCTTACAATGTCTGTCTGATTTTTATTTGCAACAGTACACTGGAGTTCTTGGAGCATTTAACTGCCAAGGTGGAGGATGGTGTCGCGAGTCCAGGCGCAACAAATGCGCCTCCGAATGTTCCCACACCGTGACCACAACCACCACCCCAAAAGACATTGAGTGGAAACGTGGAACAAAGCCAATCTCCATTGAAGCAGTGCAACTATTTGCATTGTACATGTTCCGCGAGAAAAAATTAATTCTCTCAAAGCCATCCGACGCCATAGAGATCTCACTCGAACCCTTTAACTTTGAGCTTATAACGGTCTCTCCAATCACCACCATGGCTAACAAGTCTATCCAATTTGCTCCGATTGGGCTGGTAAATATGCTTAACACTGGCGGTGCAATACAGTCAGTGGTGTTCAATGATCGGGACAACTCGGTCCAGGTAGGGGTGAAGGGGACTGGTGAAATGAGGGTGTTTGCGTCGGAGAAACCGACAGCTTGCCGGCTTAATGGGGAAGATGTTGAATGTGGTTATGAGGGGCTCATGGTTGTAGTTCAAGTGCCATGGCCTGAATCTCCAAGTTTGTCTATTATTGAGTACTCATTTTAAACTCTATTTTTTTTTTTGGGTTAAATAACGATCGATTGGCTTGAATTCGGGCAACACGCCTGATAGGAAAGTCTTTCATTCACCAAACCCAACTCCTTAATTTTAATTGGGGTTGATTATTAGGCTTTGTTTTCAAGTTAGTGACTGCATTTTTTTTATTTGTTTATTGATGTAATGTGTATGATTATGTAAATTTCTAGTTAAAGATTGAATCATGTATAAAATTTACTTTTTGTCTCTGTCTCTCTTTTCGTCTGTGTGTTGGAAATGAGAGTGTCCATGAAGAAGTGAACAATAATTTTTCAAAGGTTAGTAATCTGTATATGGAAATTTAAATTATTAATCTTTAAGAGGCAGGATTTTGATTCCGTTAGTTTGAATATCATAATTTTGTTTTGTATTGATTTTTGTTGATTAACACATAATTGAATAGAACTTTAAGGTTATTGTAATTTTTTTATTTTCTGTTTGAGATAATTTAATCTCTTCATTTATTATTTTTAAGCCAATCTAATAAAATAAAATATAGTGTTTATTTTTTTTTTAAATTAAAGAAATGATATTGAGTTGAAATTAAATATTTTTATAAATAATTTGATATAGAGTTGGTATACTAAATTTAACTGTCACAAAAAAAAAGAAAAAAAAAAAAATTCTATTTTTAACCAAGATTAAAAAAAAATAAAAATAGCATGACGTGTTAACATCGAACACAAATCCAATAATATAAGTAAATAGGTATTAAGAAAATTCTAATACGAATACAAAATTATTGGGCTATTCGGTTTTAAAAGGAAAATGTTTGAGGGTCATAATTTTTGTGGTTCAAATGGTTCAAAATTGTCAAAACGACGTCGTTTTAACAATTTTAAAGTTGTTTTGTACTCAAAATGACGTCATTTTAGTAATTTCGAGCCATTTAAGTCATAAAAATTGTAGCCCAATCATTGCTGGTTTTAAAATTGGTGGGTACTTGTTTCAATATTGGGCCTTTCGGACCCCAGGCCCGACAATATACGCCAAGACAAACATTGCAAGTAAACAAAACTGCTAAGTTAACATAAACCAAGACGACATCGTTTGATACCAGGAAACGGTTGCGTGACGTCGGAATGTTTTCTGAGAAAGCCATCTCGTAACTTCCAAATCAAAACCCTATTAAAATCCAAATTCCAGAAGATAATTTCCCGACGACCCTCCTCCAGTTTTCTCTCTCTAAAACCTTCTCGCACAAGAATCCTTGTACAGCTACTCATCAATTGTATATATATAGCTGACTATATATCTAGATAGAATCTGGAAGAAGAAGAAGAAGAAGCAGCTCGATGAATACATCGCAATTCATGGACAAACAGATCATGGACTTATCGAATTCGCACAACAACAACGACTTCATCGATCTCATGAACCCTCCTCACGAACACCGTACTGGCTTTGCCAAGAAGGATGAGATCGTGCCCAGCTACGATTTTCAGCCAATTCTTCAACAGTCGAATCTCGATTCGGGTAATGTTGGTGAAACTAGGGTTTGGAACTCGGCTGATTCAAAGACTCATGCTACTGGTATTGGCATCAGAGTAAGATCTCTCTCTCTCTCTCTCTCTCTATATATATATATATATATATTTTGTTTCGGTTTTGATGATTTTCATGGTTATGATATATAACTGGTTAATTTTGATGAAATTGTTGTCTGTCCTAGTTGAATTATCTTTGAATTTGTGTTCTTTTAGGAGGAATTATGTTAGGCATTGTGTGAAGGATACATTAGCTAGAATTTTTTATTTATTTGTTAGTTGATAGTTATTTGTGTTGAGCGATTATTGGTTTTTACAGACAATTGATGGAGTTTGGAGGGGAAAAAAAGTGTTGCTATTAAATAGTGAAACAATTTATTTTGTGTTGTTATGGCTGAAGCAATCGCAGACATCCTCATGGGTGGCGTAAATTTATCGAGCAATTTGTTTTTTCGCTTTATTTAAGTTATTAGTTTTTTAATTGTTCACATAATTATTATCAATAATAAAGGTTTTATGTTCTAAAGTAAATCCATATGATTTGTATACATCAAGATGAATTTGATTGATGGCCTTTTAGTTTAAGCATTCATTCTCGCCATAGTCAACTCGTCTTGGTGTTTGAAAATCGTTACAAATTGGTCTGGTAAATTTTCAAGAATGCTTACTTTTGTTGCATCTTCTACGAGTTAGAGGAATTGAGAGTGCCTAAACATGATTTGATTGGCAGTTGGTGATGATTGTCGTTTGCGGTTTATAAAATTGATGAAATTAGAGGAGATCGAACCCATTTGAGCCTGATGATTTTATTTAATTTTGGGATTGATGTAATTCTTTTTATGTTACAACAATACTAGTCATGTATTAATTTCCAACCACATGATTCACCTAATTCAACCACATTATGTTTTGTGATGTTTTCTACCTCTACGTATGTTCTGTTGCTAGCAAAGCGAGTAGTGATCCACGACTTTGTTCTCTGCACTCTCTTGCTAATTTGTTATCTGGTGCTTCCATGTTCTGTACAGAATTATAGTTCTCTCGACTCCATCGAACCTACAAAAGTCATTTTAGAGAAGGATTACAATACCAATATTGCAGCTTTAGTATCTGAGATCGATCAAACCATGAAGATGCATGCTGATGATCTACTGCATGCATTGGAAGGTGTCAGTGCCCGAATATCTCAGATAGAGAGCAGAACTCGCCACCTTGAGAATTCAGTGGATGATTTGAAGGTTTCTGTTGGGAACAATCATGGAAGTACTGATGGTAAACTGAGGCAGATGGAAAATATTCTTAGAGAGGTATCTTTTCCTCTACTCATGTCTGAACTATTGTTCAAATTCTTTTGCAGTGTTCAGTGCTAGGGAAAACTAATACAGGCGCTGGATCCAACTTTAACATGTTCTTGTTTAAATTTTACACCGAGCTGAAAAAAGCAAACTGGCCTTCATTACATTTATTTCCTTCACTCAAGGATTACTGGACACTGCATTTGAAAATTTATGATGGCTTTTGCACATCTTGTTAATTTTATCGTGTATACTGGTCTATGTATTTACTGTCTTGTTGATCAGTCTGTTACACTTTTAGTGAGTGATTATCAACAACTCGTGCAGGTACAAAGTGATGTGCAGGTTATAAGGGATAAACAAGACATATTAGAGGGTCAGCTTCACCTTGCAAAGCTACAAATGTCCAAGGTAGAGCAGCAGTCAGATACCCAAAACACCGTGCAATCTGATTCTTTGCAGCTAGCTGCATCTGCTTCTCAGCTGTCTCACCAACAGCTTCCTCCCGCTATTACACAATCACCTTCTACCTTCTCTGTGTTGCAGCAGGCAGCATTTGCTCCTCAGCAGCCTCACCAACAGCTTCCTCCTCCTATAGTGCAATCACCTTCTATGCTTTCTCAACCCAATGCTCCTCCACCTGCTTCACAGCAGAATCTACCTCCTTCGGTTCCGCTTCCAAACCAGTTCCCTCCTAACCCAATCCCTTCTGTGCATCAGAGAGAGCCATACTTTCCTCCTCCTAGTCAGATACAAGAACGGCAATACCAGTTACCTCCTCCTCAGCATTTGCAGCCTCCTGTTCCAGCACCACTGCATCAACAATATCAGCCACCACCGCCTCACCCGCAATGCTGTCAGCCACCACCACAACACCACCCATCTCTCTCACCAGTTAATCCTCCTCAACCTCAACCTTCAATGGGCCACCATCCAGATGAAGCACCACCTTATGCTCCCCCTCAAAACTATCCACCAAGCCTCCACCAACAACCTCCTCATCCAACCAGTGGAAACCCTCCCTCTCATCAGTTCTTTGGTGCTCCATCCCACATGTATGAGCCACCATCTAGTAGGCCCAATTCAGGATTTTCTACTGCATACGGCCCTTCTTCTGGGCCCAATGAACTGTACCCTTACAGTGGATCTGCTTCTCAGTATGGTAGTGGCTCGATGAAACAACAACCATCTTCTGTTGCAGCCCAGGGCGGTGGAACCAGTTATCCTCGGCTCCCCACTGCTCGTATATTACCACATGCAGTGCCTGCTGCTTCTGGGGTTGGGGGTGGGTCTGGTTCTAGTGGAACGGGTAACAGGGTGTCTATTGACGATGTGGTCGACAAGGTAGTTACTATGGGATTCTCAAGAGACCAAGTGAGAGCAACAGTTCGAAAGTTGACGGAAAGTGGGCAATCGGTTGATTTGAATGTAGTGTTGGACAAATTGATGAATGATAGTGAAGGACAGCCCCAGAGAGGTTGGCTTGGTCGGTAATTTTTTTTTTTTTCTTTCTTCTTTCCTAACCTTGAATTGTGTATGGAAAGTACAGTGAGCATTAGCTTGGTGAGTTGGGTATTGTACCCCCTTGAATTGCTTTTTTATTTTATCATCATAATAATATGAATGATCCTATTTTTCTCTCAATGTAATTAAAATTATTTATTTTTCTCTCAATATATATATACTAGTGGTAACTCATGCTATGCATAGGATTTTATAAATTTAAAAAAAAAATCATATCACTTTGCTTGGTTAAGGTTTTCTAAAAACACTTTTCAGAAAATTCTACTTTCTTATTTTTCGTTTTTTTATTTTTATTTTTACTGAATTTTTTTAATATTTTAAGCAATTTTTTAAATTTTTGGACATACATGACATAAATATACCTAAAAAGTAAAAAAAATGTGAAAAAAAACTTTTAAAAATTCACTAAATATAAAAAATATAAAAAAAAATAAATAAATCAGTACATTTTTTGTATTTTTATGTATTTACAAATTTTTTACTTTTTAGATATATTTAAGTAAGGTGCATCTAAAAAAGTAAAAAAAAAAACGTTTAAAATTTTAAAAATATTCACCAAAAATCAAAATATACGAAAATCAAAATACTCAGTTTTCAAAAAACTTAATTCAAAAAATTCAAACCAAACACACTGATTATAATTATTTTGAAATAATTTAATATTTTGTCTTATGATATATATGAAATTTATAAGTTAACTTATGTTTATAATTTTTTAAATTATTAGTTTAAAAAAATTAAATATATATATATATATAAATCTATTTAGTGTAATTTTAATAGTTTGTATTAAAAAAAATTTAACTTGATTAAATGAGATTAAATGAGTTATGACATACCTCTTCTTATTATGAAAATATACAAATTTAAAAGTTATAATTAAGACAAATATATAATTTTATTATTAAATGTAAAGTAAAGTGATATTTAACAATAATTAATATGATGTTTTTATTATTAATCCAATAATTTAAGTTACATTTCTTTTTCTTTCAATTTCATAACTAAAAATACAATATGAATATAACACACAGATTTCTAATCTTTAAGAATAAGAAGGTTTCAAAATATTTTCAAACTTTCATCATTTTCTTTTATTTTTTTATCTAATTTGATTTTAAATTTGAATAAAAATTTTGATTAACTTTTTCATTAAATTTTTATCAATTTTTAAAAGAACTTTTATTCTTATCACAATTTTTTTTCATTTCACCAATTTTGATGAAAAAAAAATAATTTTTAACGTTTCTTCTTTTTAAATTTTTATCAAATTATAATTTGATAAAAAAAATTTCTAAGGATTGAACATTCTCTTAATTGAAATTATAGTGAAATAACATCTACATATAATCAAAGTTTAAGTATGTAGTTGGTTAAAATGTATAATTTAATTAATTCTCTTCTCATATTTGTATAAAAAATAAACACTTATGACTACATCATTATAAGTCAGATTATGAAAAAAAATTTGACATGTCAAACATTTTCCATTTGTAAATATCCTACATATTAAAAAAGAAAAAAAAAATTAAAAAAATGTGTAACTTTTGGATATGTGTTTATCAGTTTTGTTTTATAGACAAAAACAATTGATGTTTCAATTTTAAAAATTAAAAAGTAAAAAAAAAAATAGAATGGGTTTTTTAGAGATAAAAGAAACCATGTAACTCTTCTATATACTATTTAAAATGGACTATTTTAATCACATAAAAAAATATAAATTATATTTAGAAATTATCCCTATATATTATGCTATTATATACAACTATAGCTGTAACAAATTAACTATAATATATATGAAAAGTTATATCAAGTTTTTATTTTCAATTAATTGAATTGTAATTAACAAACTAACAAATAGCAGTAATGGTATAATAGGATATAAAAATGATAAAAAATAAAAAACACAATGATATTTAAAAGTTTTAAATTTATCTAGTTATACAAAAATCTAATCTTATAGTAAAATCTTTGAATTCTCAATAAATTTTCACATTTTCTATAAAATAAAATGACAATTAAAAAAAAAAATCAATACTCATTTTTTTACTTTAATTTTATGATATTCATTGAAGAAAATAAAATTTGATCAAAGTTCTTGGCACAGAACAGATATAGATATTTCGATTACAATCATAAACACCAATAAGTGTGTTTGGTTTGAGTTTTTTAGATTAAGGCCAAGTTTGGGAACTCAAAAATAATTCATCTTTTTATCTTTTTTTATCACATCACCTCTTTACTTTTCTGCACATCTTTTCGTAAAAAGACAAAAAGTACACTTATTTAGGTCATCCCAAACAAAAGTTTTTTGAAAATTGAGTTTTTTGATTTTCGTATTTTTTTATTTTTAGTGAATATTTTTAAATTTTTAAACATTTTTTTTTAGATGCACCTTATTTAGATGTATCTAAAAATTAAAAAAATTGTGAAAAAATATTTTTAAAAATTAATAAATACATAAAAATACAAAAAATGTACTGAATTCTCGTATTTTTTTTGTATTTTTGATATTTAGTGAATTTTTAAAAGGTTTCCTTCAAAAAAAATTTACATTTTCGGTATATTTATGTTAGGTATGTCTAAAAAGTAAAAAAATAAAAAATTGCTTAAAATATTAAAAAATTCAGTAAAAACAAAAAAAATATGAAAAATAAGAAAGTAGAATTTTCTAAAAAGAGTTATTAGAAAACTTTAACCAAGCATGCTGAATAATTATTTTCCACCATGTAAATCTGTAAACAAACACATAAATCTCAATAAAACCAAAACTAAAACCAAACTAACAGTAGAGAAAGAGAATCACGCAGGAAAAAAATAAATTTAAAAAACAAATAAATGTATGGAGTGGGAGAATGTTACCTTTAACAATTTAGACATCACCTAACCTAATCTGTTAACTCTTTTTATAACAATTTGAAAATTTAAGTTGTGCCTTAAATTTTATATTCATATTATTTAATTATAAATAAGAAAAATCTTAAACATTTCGTAAGAGTAAAATAAAATAAAATAAAAACGGTGATTTATCACCATCCTAATATATAGGATGGTGACTAGGCCTTGTTTGGCATCTCTTAAAAAAGTCGAAAAGTTAAAAAATCACTATCCCATTTAAGTTACATTATCTTATTTAAGTCACATCACTTCTCTACTACATTACTTCAAATTCAATCCATATCTAACTCATACTTTATAAAAAAATTAAATAACACACTTATTTAAAGAATAATGTTTTAGAGCACTAAATTAGGAGCTCTAGAGCATCACTAATAATGTGGCACAGTGACCCCCATCAAAGTGATGTGATATTTTGACTTGAATTTTTTTATTTATTTATTTATTTTTTTAAACTTATTAAAGTTATTAATAATTTAAAAATTATTGGAATGAATCACCACTCTTATTTAAAATATTTTAAACCACCCTTAATTATAACTGGGGCGAGTCATCCTACAGGACAAAGGAAATAAACAAATGGTGCCACATGTGGGACAGGTGGCTAAATATAAAATTGCCACACGCCACTGCACCAACTATAAAGAGGCTACTAACATGGTGAAAATTCATTCCACCCCACCAGCTCAAATAAGCTCCTAAAATTTGTTAGAGCGGGGGTGCAGCTTGTCAGTAGCGGGAAATTATAAGTAGGGTTTTTTATGAATGTAAAAGTTAATGAAGAACTACTTTTAGGTAAGTTTAGGATTTTGAATGATTTTATTTTAATTGTATTGTTGGGTAGTAGATGGTGAATGAGATTGATGATCTAATTTATGATTTTGAAAGCTGTGCTTGTGTTAGTTTATGATTTGATTTAAAAGTTTAGGATTTTGAATGATTTGTTTGTGTTAGGAATTGATTTTTTTGTGTTTTTAATTTTATAAGTTTTAATTCATTAATTATTAATGTTGGAGCATTTTAGAAAATTGGAAGAAAATGATCCAAAATAAATATTTACAAAATTGGGAAAAAAAAACTCAAAAATTAATTTTTAAGTGAAAAAATCAAAATCGCAAACCGTCCGCAGCTGCCTGCATATCTGCAAATCCTATTCGCACAAATCGCAAACTGCGTTGCGGGCGGTTGTGGTTTGACTTTTTCTCAAACTGTATAGATGCGGACGGGTCAAAATCGAACCGCAAACCACACAAATCCAAACCGTGAACACCCCTAGTGGCTAACATCGCTAAGCTTTGGATAAAAAGGAAATATACCTACGAGTAATAACAAGACAGTTATAGAAAAGTAAAGGTTAAGGGTCAATATAAAGGTAAGTTATATTATATCTTAAGTTACCATAACATGTTTTTTATATGTCTTGAGTTATCATAATATATTTTATGAATATTTTGAGTTATTATAATTTATTTTATATAATTTATATTTTTATAAATTATATGAATATTTCGATTACATAGATTATTTTCTAAACTCTATTTACTTAAATGGAAACCCATGGATATATTTGTTTAAATTTTAATAATTATTTGATAATGATTTTATAAATAATTATGTTTTGTAAGTACTACCACGGGAGTCTCATGCCTTGGAGGATTTAAATAAATTATTGGCCTCTGTTTGACCACTTTGTGGTCCTCTGTTTGTCATGAATCTATTGATCTCTATTCTGTGCGGAGTTAAGTGCTACACTGTTGTAAGAGCCACCTCTAAAATCTGTACAAGCCACCTCTTGAGTCTGTACCTTTGTATTGTCACGAATCCACTAACCCGCTGATTTTTAGTGTGGAGCAAAGTGTTGTACGGAACTAAATGCTACGCTATTGTAAGAGTCACTTCTAGAGTTCGTACAAGCCACTTCTTAAATCCATGCATCTGTTTTGTTATGTTTTGTACCATAGTTATGATTATTTTATTTCTGTATTATATAAATTTTGTTATAAAAATAAAAATTCCGATGATTATTCTGGTACTCTCACTCAAATATTATTTATACTGACGATTAGTTATTTGTTCAAGAATTGGCCGTAGATAATTTCAGTTATTGGCCATCACGATACTTAACCATTGGGTATGGAAAGCAGGTCGTGACACCTTTGTCAGTGCTTGTGAAGTCTAGGAGTTGGGATGACTAATCAAATTATTCTTTAAATAAGACTTGA